CGCACACACTCTCTCTCTCTCTCTCTCTCTCTCTCTCTCTCAGATGTATCAGTATCCATTATATTCTCTGTAAATAATGTTAATGTGCTGCGACTTTAACCTCTAAAGGAACATAAACCTTGTCTCTGTGTGTTTTGATGTGTTTCTCTCTCAGGTATCTCTGCTGTGACACACAGAATGAAATGAGGGAATGGTTTGCTACCTTCATGAGCATACAGGTCAGTCTGAGAGGATCATGTCAAGAAGCCTGATAAAGCATATTAGATACATGAAGCCCTCTAAATGATCAAACTCTTCTGTTAAACCTGTTCCTCCATGTCTTCTGTCTCTGATTGATAGTTTTTTATCCAGTCGAAGCTCTTTTAGTGTAACTGTACAAGCGTCCAGCTTCAGCTGCTGCTTCTCGTGTCAAATCTTGACTGATTTTAATCAAGTAAGCATCAGAATAATATCTCCAGATGAACACTTACTGCACTGAAGCAGCTCAGCTTTACTTGATTCTCCATCAATCATGTTTTAGAGTCTCAAATCTGATCCTCAGGATCTTTTGAGGAGCGTTTGTTTCCAGAAGCTTTACTTTCACTGTTCCTCAGCGGAGGAATGATCTTCACAAGCCTCCAGAACATCTCACATCTTCTGAGGAGCCTTTATTTCTTCAGCTCTCAATCACTGCATTATATGTTTGGAGCATTTCACTCTCATCTCACTGAGACGCATTACTGGAGATATCGTTTTTTTAGTATCATTGGGGTACTATTATAGTTTAAATTTTTTAAATTAGTTTTTATATATTTTTGTTTTTAATTTAAAAGTTTTAGAATTTTTTTTGTTTATTGACAATTTTATAAAAAAATTTAATGTCTATATTATTTTAACAGTTTTATTATTTGATTTTATTATTATTTACAAAATGAAACTTTTTACATTTAAATTGACTAAATTAACTTTTTATTTATTTATTTATTTTTTCAGTTAATGTTTATCTTATTTCTAGTAACAGATTTTTTTGTTATGGTTTTAGTTTTGGTAAACTATAATAACCCTGAGAGCAACGACTGATATTTATATCATTTTATGTCAGTATCTGCTGCACTGTTATAAACATCTCATTGTTTCATCACAGAAATATCAGCATCTGCAGCAAATTAATATTTTTGCTCAGTTTGAGTCTGAATAAAATTTAGCTGTTTTCCCTCCATATTCTCACTGTATCAGACTATATGAGCCATAAAAGCCTGATGGAGCAAATATGCTGCATGTGTTGCATGTATTTACATCTCTTTCTCTCTCTCTCTCAAGTTCAAGTTGCTTTATTGGCATGACATTTGTGTTACAGTATTGCCAAAGCATTTTAGATGTGTACAATACAGAATATAGTTACACCACCAAAGTAAAAAAGGAGACAATAAATGGTATGGTGTATACATATTTATCTCTCTCTCTCTCTCTCTCTCTCTCTGTCAGAACGGAGGTCGTGTGTGGCCGGCGGAGTGGTTGAAATCTCGTGCGGCGAGTCGCTCTGCGCCGCTGGACGCTCGCTTCGGTAACGTGTCTCTGATTCCTCTGCGCGGCAGCGAGAACGAGATGAGGAATAGTGTCGCCGCTTTCACTGCCGATCCTCTCGCCGTGAGTCTAATCAGCCAATCACAACCGGGCTCGGCCAATCACACAGCCAATCACGCGGCTCTCTACTCCCAAACACACTGAGCTCAGCCTCGAGTTTAATGCATCAGAGAGACGCTGTGACATGAAGCACTGTTCGTTTTAATACTAAGCTTTTGGCAGAATTCTAAGGCAGAATTACATACATCATTATATAATGTTCTTCTATCCTTTGGGATTTAATAATTCCAGCATCAAAGAGTTAAAAACAGTGTGTTCGTATCATGTATATGCAGCACAAAAGCAGTGTTAAGTCGCTGGAGGATATTTGTAGCAATAGCCAACAATACATTGTATGGGTCACAATTATACATTTCTCTTTTATGACAAAAATCATTAGGATATTAAGTAAAGATCATGTTCCATGAAGATATTTTGTAAATTTCCTACCGTAAATATATCAAAACTTAATGTTTGATTAGTAATATGCATTGCTAAGGACTTCATTTGAACAACTTTAAAGATGATTTTCTCAATATTTAGATTTTTTTGCACCCTCAGATTCCAGATTTTCAAATAGTTGTATCTCAGCCAAATATTGTCAGATCCTAACAAACCATACATCAATGGAAAGATAGATAGAAAGATAGTCTCAGTGCTTTAGTAAAAAAAAAATACAACAACTTTAAGAACCGGTCAGTGTTTCATGTGTAAAGTTATACCCAAGTCAGTAAATAAGTAAATAAATACTTCTATTTTTATAATGTTCATAAAATATATTTTTATGTTTTTATTTGTCTCCTTTCTTTCCATACAACTTTAGAAATGAATCATTGAGTAACAGCAGTTTGCTGCACTTTCCCGCTGTTACTCAATGTGTCATGTCTAATAAATATATAATATTCATATAAAATGTTCTGTATGATTTTATCCTTGAAACATTGAGTAACAGCAGTAAAAGCGGGTCAGTGTTTCATGTATGACGTTATACGCAAATAAACTAAAATTTATAAAATATTTTTTAATTCCATTTTTGTGTTTTTATTTATATTTATTTTTCTGTATAACGCTGAAACTTTGAGTAACAGCAGTAAACACAGTAAACTTTGTTGTTTCATGTCTAAAGTTATAAATAAATACATAGATAAATAAATATTTACAATTATATAATTTTTTTAATTAATTTTTCCTTTTTCTGTATGACTGTAATCATGGAACACTGAGTAACGGCAATAAACACAGTAAAATTCCAAAAGAACTTATTACATTTAATGTAATCCCAGCGCGCATTGCATTCAGCTCAGTGAGTCAAAAATGATCGCAGACATTGATTATAAATGTGCTTACATTTCATTTGACACCAAACAGTATTGTTAAAATAGTGCAAATGAATTCAGATGAACCATGTAGATCATTTCAGATTAGTCATTTGAGGTTCTGGTCCTCAGTAGGGTGCTGCCTATGTAGACAGCGAGGGGCTCACTAGGTTTCGGAACAGAGCTGAAGACAGACATTTTTATAAAACATAATTCATCTGCATACCAGAGTATTGATGATGCTGTGTGATTACCCATGAGTCCTCACTGTTCTGATTTACTGAGACGCTTCATGTTCGGCTCGCAGTGTGTGATGAGTCACGTGAATCAGGAGTGAATTCACATGATTCTGTCCTGATTCACATGATTCACTGCTGATTCACATGATTCACTCCTGATTCACATGATTCACTCCTGATTCACGGGAAGCATGAGAGAATCAGGAGAGAATCATGTGAATCAGGAGTGAATCACGTGAATCAGGAGTGAATTCACATGATTCTGTCCTGATTCACATGATTCACTCCTGATTCACGTGATTCACTCCTGATTCACGTGAATCATGAGTGAATCAGGAGTGAATCATGTGAATCAGGAGTGAATCATGTGAATCAGGAGTGAATCATGTGAATCAGGAAGGAATCACGTGAATCAGGAATGTATCACGTGAATCAGGAGTGAATCAGGAAGGAATCACATGAATCAGGAATGTATCACGTGAATCAGGAGTGAATCATGTGAGCCGCAAATGAACCGTCCTGTACTAATGCTTTATTACTGGAGGAAGTGGAGGTGTTGGTGTGTGTTTCACTCGATCCGTCTTCACACATACAGCGGACATCCGATTAACAATGCAGTTCAGAAGCAATAAATCATGTGTAAACAAATGAAAAATAACTGGTGTTGTGTCTGTGAGGAGCAGGTGTTGGGTTATTGCTCATATTATTAACTTAATGGGCGATTTCCTCTAACCTTTTTACCCATAATTCTGCAGGACTGTCCTCTGTATACATTATATGAGTGACAGTGTGTGTATTTATGACAACATGAATTCAACAGGAAAGTGAAGAATCTAATTCAAATGTCTTCTGTCACATCATTCAGAAAAGGAAGATTAAACATTGTTAAATTTGCTACTTTTATATACTGTATGTATATAAAGAAAATTGTATGTGTATATGTATATTAAATATTTTTAAAATGTTTTTACTAGGGATGCACGGATAGGATTTTTTTGGCTGATACGGATACCGATTTTAGCAAACAACTATTGGCCGATACCGATATTGGTCAATTGCATAAAGCAGGTCTTAAAAATGAAAAATAAAAGATTTGATCGGTTCACTCCGAGCAGAATCAGTATTTGAGTGTTTCTGTTCCTGCGTTCCTCTGTATTAGGCTCCGAAACCGGTTTGAGTAGGAAAAAATACCGGTTAATAACGTTATTTTAAAAACTTTTTCTTTGCAAATAATAATAATAATTATAAAGTACAGAGTATTCTTTAATCAAAATGAAAAAAAAAAACGAGGGTCTTGACCTGGTAGCCTATCTTGCGCTTAGTCATAGCCAATACAGCATAATCTTTTCTAGATTTTGACCAACTATATTAAACAAAATAAAAAACTGTCAATGCTTTAAAGACATTAAAGTAATTTTTCAAGATATTTAAAAATGTTTGCAGCATGGATAAAAAAATGCTACTCCTTTAAGCGTTTTGAGAGGAAAAAACAGCCTAAATTAGTAGGCTGTCCGACGCTTTTTTTTATTACATACAGAAATAATGTAGGCTAAAATATTGTAAATAAACCAAAATATTTACAAACATTGCAAACACAATTAGGCTATTTTAGTTCCCTTCTCTCTACAACAATTCCTCTAAAGTTGTAAGCCAAAACGTATTAATTTAATACCTCTCTCATTCTGCACGAATACAAATGTTTCCATATTCACAACGTATCTGGATGCTAAAATATATTTAGCCTATTCCTATGTAAACTTTAGGCTTTATTCTTCACTCGCATTTTTGACATAAAACATCATCCTTCACATAACAGCACAGTGAGGCGCTGGTCACGCTGAACGGCACAGACTGTACTACGGACAATTTAAATTGAGCAGTGTAGCTTTTTATGTTTCTTTAACTGTATTTTATTTTGATAAGGAACAGGCTGCGATATCAAGTTAGCAAAAATGTGTTGTATGTGCGTGTGAGTCACCAAGGTGATTCAAAACTAAAGCTTTTGTAAAATAAAGAAAACATCTTTCTGCCGTCTCTGTTTCCTTTCCGTGAACTTCAGAGCGCGCTACAATGATGCAAACTCAGCACTTTCGTTTTGTTAATATGTTAATGATTTAAGTGAAATGTATTTTGTGTATAGGCCTAAATATTCCCTATATAGTTTTATTATGTTTTCTCCGTTCACAGAGGCGCTGCAGGCGTGTGATGTGAGCTTGTGTGAATCCGTGTTCTACACTGGTTTCAAACAAAAAGCTGCATATTACCTGCCATTCATTTTCACTTAAACGTAGGCCTAATGCTTGGCGGTTCGTGACATATCCTCGGATAAACTCTAACGCCGGTGCATTGCCATTGCGACTTACCTATGATTAATTTACAGCATTTCACTCATTGGATGTGTCAGCGTCACGTTTGCATTGGCTGTACTATGCCATCTGCAAACTATATTTTGTACAGATTTTAGGGCTGTGCAATTAATCGAAATTCATTTTCGATTTTGATTTCGGCCTCCAACGATTATGAAAATACAGTAATCGAGATAAAACAATTATTGCGCCCCCTTTCCAGCAGTGCTCTTTCGTTCCTCCATAATCAGTAAAATCATGTAACGAGACTTTTGCAAAATGGGACGTGCTTGATTTATTTAAATTTATTAGATTTATGTTTTTAAAAGCGTGAAAGAACTTGCGCTTCCTCGGGAAGATTACTGTGGATGCGCTCAGAGACGGAACACAACACGGACATGTAAAGTCATCACAAAAAATAGGACTATTGTGGTATTGAGAATTGTTACATAATTATTTTTTCTTATTAAAGCTACAAAAGTCCTTCAGTCAAGAGCAGTGAGTGATTTTGAATGTGTTGTTTGATTAATATTAAGCACAGTCGGCAGCAGGAATATAGCCCGCTGTCACTTTAAGAGCCGCACGGATACAATTGACTGTTACACAAGTATTTTTTGTAGGACTTTTGTAGCTTTAATAAGAAACAAAGGTTTAATTCTTACAGTGAAGACTATGCTGTTTTATTTTACATTAGGTTATTCCATTTCTCTAGTAGGCCGTTAACTGAATACTTTAGACTTGCATTAAAAAAAACTTAAAGCACAGTTTGTTTCATTTGTATATTTTTTATTCTATTGTATTCTTTTGTTTTTTTATTACAGTTTAATTATTTTCAATAATTTTTAGGACCTTTTTGTTGTTTTTTTAAACTAATATGAGTTACTCTGGTATCCTGCTGTGGTATTGAGAATTGTGACATTTTGCTGGTCTCTAAAATGTAGATGTCACAGCAACCTTATTTACAGAACATATATATTTAATATATATCACTATCTTTAAATAAATCTTTCATATATAGTTTTTTTTTGTCATATGGCCCACTAATAGTCATTTTAAATAATCGTGATTACAATATTGACCAAAATAATCGTGATTATGATTCATGTTAGAGCAGCCCTAACAGAACAGATTTTATTTTGTTTTGGCAAGTATTTAATTATTTTGCCCAGAGAAAAATGTTGGATTATGCAACAGGCATGCAACTCATTGTCTCCATGCAGTTAATTAATAAACCATCGGTATCGGCCCTTTTCATGCTATTTCCGATATGCCGATGACTTTAAAATAATAAAAAATCGGCCGATAAATATCGGTGGCCGATATATCGGTGCATCCCTTTTTTTATTTTTTATTATTTAACATTTTATTTCCATTTTTTAAATCTCTGATGGACTGATGATCTCTGAGCTCATGACAGTGAATTTTAAATCCTATAATTCTATTGAAGTCAGTTTTCTGTTCTGTTTTCTGAGAGAATCTGGCAGGTTTCGATTAAATTAATGCTTTATTTTCTGCAGCTCTTCAGAAATGTTTGACGGAGTGAATGTTGTTCAGGTGAGACGTCCAGCTTCTGCGTTTCAGACCAACACAACAACAACAAAATCATCACAAATGTGTGACCCTGCAGCACAAAAGCAGTGTTAAGTCGCTGGGGGATATTTGTAGCAATAGCCAACAATACATTGTATGGGTCACAATTATACATTTCTCTTTTATGCCAAAAATCATTAGGATATTAAATAAAGATCATGTTCCATGAAGATATTTAGTAAATGTCCTACCGTAAATATATCAAAACTTAATGTTTGATTAGTAATATGCATTGCTAAGAACTTCATTTGAACAACTTTAAAGATGATTTTCACAATATTTAGATTTTTTTGCACCCTCAGATTCCAGATTTTCAAATAGTTGTATCTCAGCCAAATATTGTCCGATCCTAACAAACCATACATCAATGGAAAGATTCTTTATTCAGCATTTTCTAAAAATTGATCCTTACGACTGGTTTTGTGATCCAGGGTCACATATATCATCAATATTTTTGATCAATCACCATATTTGTTTAAAGTCATTTAAATATTTTATATTCCTGCATCATTGATTTGTTTTATTTTTTTATAAATATTAAATAACATTGTTTATATATTTATACAATATTTATACAATTTATTTTCCCAATTAATTATATATATATATATATATTTTTTTAATTCTTTACATTTATTTATTTATTAGGAACTGTAGGTGTATGCGGGTCACAGTCACATCAGGCCGTCGATCGCTCTGATCCGGATCAGTTCAGTCCGTCTGGATCTTCTCACGCACTTTGACCTCCACAGAGGTGACAGCACCTTACAGCACAGGTCATTCTGGGACATCAGACTGTTACTGGCCTCCATTCTCGTGGATCATTGTGATGTTGACACGTGGATCATTGTGATGTTGACACGTGGAGCGTTTAGTGTCCATCTAACCCACTTAAACACCCGGAGGCGTCCGTGTTTTCTGTTTAACCTTCACACTTTTTACAGACTTTATAACTTATTTCAGCCTGTTTTAATATCAATCAAATGGAATCACATCAAGAACTTTAAAGGTCAAAGGTCACGGATCAGTCCATAGAGAGAGCGAGAGAGTGTGTGTGTGTGTGTGTGTGTGTGTGTGTGAGAGAGAAATTACACTTTTTACAGACTTTATAACTTATTTCAGCCTGTTTTAATATCAATCAAATGGAATCACATCAAGAACTTTAAAGGTCAAGGGTCACGGATCAGTCCATAGAGAGAGCGAGAGAGTGTGTGTGTGTGTGTGTGTGAGAGAGAAATTAATGGTGCATTCACATCATGGCAGAATGACCATTTATATATATATATATAGATATATACACACAGGGTTCCTACAGGGTCTGGAAAAGTATGCAAAAGAAATTAGAGTATGAAAAGTATTTGTGTTTCCAGACCTTTGCCCCTATTTAGTTTTTTCTATAATAGAAAATTAAGAATTTAAATGTATTGTATAAGACGTCAAAGTCAAAATACGACTGGATGAATTCAAAGTGCACTTTTCACTATGCAAAATGCAGGTTATAAGCTTTTTGGGTTTATTCTCACAATATTCTTAGCACTGTATAACATAGCCTCAAGGACTTCTGCAAAAATAAAATATATACAGACTTTTGTGCGCGCACAAGAAACCATTAAACTTAACATTTAGGACAACGCACGCTGAGCCACCTATTGCGCCATCAGCCCATTTCACACTGTGTTTTTGTCCTCCTCAAAGTATGCGTTAAAGAGACCTAAGGCCATGAAATATGGCACACTGCCCTAACGAAAGCCACATTTTTTACAGTACCAGTCTTTTTCATAGACTCTTGAACTTGGCAGATTTTATGCCGTCAGCCCGTTTCGTGTCATGGTTTCTCCGCCGCCACAGAGATGTGTTCAGTTAGACATTAGGCCTTTATATTAGAGGTACTACCATAAGAAAAGCAAGTAGATCTCTATTAATTCATGTGCATCCATGCTATCGTTTTATTCATAGTAAGATGGCAGTGATGCACAAAGGAGATAGGTTATATAAAACTAGAAACTGTAATGTGTAAGCATGCAAACAAAAAGATTCTTGTGTGCATGTAAAAGACTGTTGTTTTTTTATTTTATTTTAGGGGCTCTGTATGTTGTCACTTAGAGAAAATCAAAGAAAAAAACCCCTGAGAAAATAAAAATATTTACAGATGACTGTACTATATACCAAATATAATGCTGAAAATAATGCTCTATGAACCAATTAGGTTTGGAAATTTGAGAAAATGTGTAGGAACCCTATATATATATATATATATATATATTAAAATAATACATTTTTAATTACATATATTCTTTTTATTAATATTTTATATATATATATATATATATATATATATAAATTCTGATTCTGACACGTGAACACCCCATAACTTTGTTTGCGTGTTTTATTTCTGTATGCGTGCTTGTGTTTGTATCGGTGTGTGATTTTGATCTTTTGAATCCTGTAGAAAATGAAGGTCAAAGGTCACGGATCAGTCCATAGAGAGAGCGAGAGAGTGTGTGTGTGTGTGTGTGTGTGTGTGTGTGAGAGAGAAATTAATGGTGCATTCACATCATGGCAGAATGACCATTTATATATATATATAGATATATACACACAGGGTTCCTACAGGGTCTGGAAAAGTATGCAAAAGAAATTAGAGTATGAAAAGTATTTGTGTTTCCAGACCTTTGCCCCTATTTAGTTTTTTCTATAATAGAAAATTAAGAATTTAAATGTATTGTATAAGACGTCAAAGTCAAAATACGACTGGATGAATTCAAAGTGCACTTTTCACTATGCAAAATGCAGGTTATAAGCTTTTTGGGTTTATTCTCACAATATTCTTAGCACTGTATAACATAGCCTCAAGGACTTCTGCAAAAATAAAATATATACAGACTTTTGTGCGCGCACAAGAAACCATTAAACTTAACATTTAGGACAACGCACGCTGAGCCACCTATTGCGCCATCAGCCCATTTCACACTGTGTTTTTGTCCTCCTCAAAGTATGCGTTAAAGAGACCTAAGGCCATGAAATATGGCACACTGCCCTAACGAAAGCCACATTTTTTACAGTACCAGTCTTTTTCATAGACTCTTGAACTTGGCAGATTTTATGCCGTCAGCCCGTTTCGTGTCATGGTTTCTCCGCCGCCACAGAGATGTGTTCAGTTAGACATTAGGCCTTTATATTAGAGGTACTACCATAAGAAAAGCAAGTAGATCTCTATTAATTCATGTGCATCCATGCTATCGTTTTATTCATAGTAAGATGGCAGTGATGCACAAAGGAGATAGGTTATATAAAACTAGAAACTGTAATGTGTAAGCATGCAAACAAAAAGATTCTTGTGTGCATGTAAAAGACTGTTGTTTTTTTATTTTATTTTAGGGGCTCTGTATGTTGTCACTTAGAGAAAATCAAAGAAAAAAACCCCTGAGAAAATAAAAATATTTACAGATGACTGTACTATATACCAAATATAATGCTGAAAATAATGCTCTATGAACCAATTAGGACACACACACACTCATTCCTGAAACAGGAGCAGAATGAATCCGAGTGAATCATCTGAGTTTAATGAATGAAGCTCACAGACTGTAACACAGCAGCCTCGTTTATCTGATCGTGTGATTGATTCAATTAGTGTCTCGTTTCATGTTAAATTAAATCAGGAGCGTAAATGAGTTTGCACAGTTCTTTTCCCTCGGTTGTGTTCATTTAACGAGAATCAGAGTTTGAAGAATCAGACGCTCGTCTGTGTTTTATCTGGTAAATATAGATCAATAAAGTTTTGAAGACTCTTGAAGTATTATTATCTGAATGTCACGTTCATAAATCAGTCATATACAGACGAGTTTGACGTGACATCTGGAAAATATAGATTTGTTTACATATTAAAGTCAGAAATTACTGATATGACTTTTTCTTTCTTCAGTGGAACATAAAAGAAAAATGATATGTAGTTTTTTGAAAGTAGTTGAGCTCCATTTTCTTACTTTTTATGTGTTTTTCATGTAAGAAAGTCATTTTTGGTGATTATGAAGTGATTATTTTGACAGAAGCATATCAAATTACTGTGAAATTATAACTTGTTTTAAGACTTTCTGCATGTTTTGCTGTATTTGATCAGTGTGTAAAAATATCATAATTTTAATCATAATAAGTTTGACTGTCAATAATAACTGGTTTGAGATGTTCATGAACTTCACTGAGTAACTGAAGTAAAGATAACAGCCACTTAGCTATTAAAGTGAACTAGCAGCCCACTGACATCAGCTGTAAATGAGGACAAGCTTTTATTTCATTAGAATAGCGTCTGATGAATCATTTACAGTAAGACCAGGATCATGAATCAAGAGCCATGATTTCATATTGACTGATGCAAGATTTGAATATTTCTGAGGAAGTGTAGATGCATTCATTTTTCTTAGTTTTTTAATTGTTGAATTAGTTTGTATTTTTATTTTCAATTTTACGTATTTACGTTTAGTCATTTAGCAGACGCTTTTATCCAAATGAGAAAAATGTAATAATAATCAAGGAGAAAAAAATGAATAAAAGTATTTTTTGCTTTAAAGTGAGGAGCCTCTTTCAAGACTTTTGCATTGACATTATGATGATGTCTAAACACTGTAGTCTGACAAAATAATATATTAAATGTATTTAAAAAATAGGAAAATAAAAGCTGACCATATTTAATTATAATTAAGTTAATCATAAAAATATTTATTTATGCTTGGGTATAATTCATGTTTGTGCTTGTTTAATTTTTTTTCAGACAGATGATTTTCAGTACTGTATTACATGAGAAATAGTGAGAAAAATAATGATAATTTGAAGTTTAATTGTCTTGAACATGATGCACAATGCAAAACTCTTAATGGTCCTAAAAATAGGCTTTATTTTTTATTTAAGCTCATTTAATTTTTTTTTTCATTTATGTAACAGAAATAATGAGAGGTTAGGGTTTAATTGTCATAAACATGATACGCAATGCAAAACACTTGATGGCCCTAAAAACAGGCTTAAATTAAAAAAACAAGTTGATTTTTTTCTTGGATGAATTGAAATTTTGTATATGTTTTTTTCTATGGTTTTATTTGTCTTTAGCGTTTTCTTTTGTAACAGCATCGCAGGAGAGAGAACGATGCATGCGAGCGATCATAAGGCATCGTTAAGAGGTCGTGACCTCACACAGTAATGATCTCTGAGCTTCTTTCTGTGGTCAGGTCGCAGCAGATGGTCTGCATGGATTCGCAGCTCGTTCCTCTTTCACGGCTCGTCTCGGTCATGATCACAGTCAGACTCGGAGCGGTTTGTCCGAGACATTCAGAGACATTCAGAGCTCTTGTGTCCAGTTCAAAGCCTGTTTTCTTGGTTTCACAGACTCGATCCGAGCTCCTCATTAGTGTGTCGCCGTCTGACCCTCGTATCACCATAGCAACGGTTTTCACGATTTCTGCTCTTCTCTTCGTATATCGATCATAATCACATACAGTCATACTGATACACTGATTCTTTCTCTCACAATGCTTGGTATGTTTACTGTGGGAAACTGAACCTGTAGATTTGCTCTTTCTCTCTCTCACATCTGACAGTTTTAGTCACGATCTAATGATTATATTGTGATGCTTTGGATCATGTCTATTGTGGTGTGTGTGTGTGTGAGTGTGAGTGAGTGAGAGAGAGAGAGAGAGAGAGAGAGAGAGTGAGTGTGTGTGTGTGTGTGTGTGTGTGAGAGAGAGTGTGTGTGTGTCGTGAGGTAGAGTGTGTGTTTGTGTGTGTGAGAGAGAGAGAGAGTGTGTGTGTATGTGTGTGTGTCGTGAGGTAGAGAGTGTGTGTGTGTGTGTGTGAGAGAGAGAGAGAGAGAGTGTGTGTGTGTGTGTGTGTGTGTGAGAGAGAGAGAGAGTGTGTGTGTGTGTGTGTGTGAGAGAGAGAGTGTGTGTGTGTGTGTGTGAGAGAGAGAGAGTGTGTGTATGTGTGTGTGTCGTGAGGTAGAGTGTGTGTTTGTGTGAGAGAGAGAGAGAGAGATTGTGTGTGTGTGTGTGTGTGAGAGAGAGAGAGCGAGTGTGTGTGTCGTGAAGTAGACGCTGATAGAGTGCATTGTGTGACATCTGACACCGTATTTCATGACAAAATTACACTACACCAGTTACACAAAAAATTAAGTCTAAATTCAAATGATTTTATTTTAAATTATTTGCATGATTTAAGGCAAACCCATTGTTTTCTCATGCTCTGGTCAATTTTGAGATTTTGGTCTGTTTTGCTTCCATAAGTCTTCTAGTAGACTCGTGGAAAACAAACATTTAGGTGTTTATTTTATAGCACTTAATCTTTGCGTCTATATATATATATATATACTTAAATTCTAATACATATTTTTTTTGTTTGTTTCTCCACTTCAGCAGCACTTACATACACTAAAAAAATCCTCTCTATATTCTGAAGGTTTTTACAGAGGGGTTTGTTCATATTTCATTCACACTGATTTATGTAACATTTTATTCCTAAAACATGGTGAAAATGTATCTTTTTGTGTCTGTTGACAGTATTTTCTGATTTATGAAGTGATAAAAAGAGAAATTCAAAATCCCCTCTATATGAAAAACCTTTAACTCTAAAATGTCAACAAAATCAAACAAGAATTTTGAACGAATGTTCAGATTTCTGTTTAGGAAATTTAGGCAAATTATGCCTCATTTGCATATTTTAAACATGGCACTTGAGAAAACATGTCTTATAAAACAGCTGTCTTATTGTACTGTGATTGATTATTACCCTGTTTACCTGTAGTGTCTTGCCTTGAAGTAATGTAAAGACTTATTGATCACGTCATATCCAATATATTTTAAAGTGTACACCTAAATGTGTTTTGTACACAGAAAGAATCTGTATAGATTAGCTGTATAATTTTAGTGTCTTGCCTTGAAGTAATATCATATATCCAACATATATTTTAAAGTGCACACTTTCATGTGTTTTGTACACAGTCGATCAGAACCTGTTTTAGCTTTAGAATTTTGTGCACAAAGTGATGTGCTGACTCACATTTGCGCTGAAGAAATTCTGTGTTCGTCTGCATTAAAGTGCACCTGCGTTTTGTCATGAAATTCATCTGACGCCCGATTCATTCACTCCTTTAAATGAGTTGTGATGCACAAACCACAGGCAGTCTTCATGTGTTGTTTTCAGGCTTTAGAGCATGATTTGAAAAACTAAAGTAGTCCTGCTGATACTCGAGGCATGAAGATGAAACACAAACACACTCAGAAACACAGGTGCGTTTCCATGTTTATTGATTTCAAATGCAGGATTATTTTTGTCTGTGTGTGTGTGTGTGTGAGAGAGAGTGAATTCACTTCACTCCAGCTCAGTTCCACATCAACACTTTATTGTAGAGAGAAAGTGCTGGAGATGGAGGGACGGATAGAGAGAGACACGTCGCCGCAAGCTAGGATCGCTTATGTAAGTTGTTTTCATACGAGCCTGTTGGTGAACAATGAAAAAAACTACTTCTGAAAGTATGAAGCTCTCCACAGCTCACCTGTGTGTGTGTGTGTGTGTGTGTGTGTGTGTGTGTGTGTGTGTGTGTGAGAGTGCTAACCAATGTGATGACACAGTTAAAGTTTTTTTGAATTTTCTTAAAAAAAAAAAAAAGTGATATACTAAATGTAAATTTCTTTATTGACATCTACTGTATATGATTCCATGAAGAATCTTTAACATTCATGGACAGTGTTGGGGGTAATGCATTGCAAGTTATGTAATCAGATTACTTTTTTCAAGTAACTAGTAAAGTAACGCATTACTTTTTAATTAACAAGAAAATATCTGAGTTACTTTTTCAAATAAGTAACACAAGTTACTTTTTTATCCATTTGTTGATTGAAAGCTCTCCTGTCCTCATGTTGAGAGAAACTAGAATAAATCTGAACATGCATTAATTCATCTCACTCACAAAAAACAGATTCATTATTCCTCAAAATGAATAAAAACAGTGAAAAGCAACTCAGAATATTACACAAACCTGCAATAATTAAATATGTTAAATAATACAAATATCCTTTATGTATTTAATCCTATTTTATTAAGCAATGTCTTTGCAGCTGAGCTTTGATGATCAAATTTAATCATACTAATAAGCAAAAATCACTTTAGATAAACTAACATTTGTGTGTCTTTTTTTTATTGCTGAAGAGTGTTGAATGTTCTTCTCCTGCGTTCTGCTGTACAGACGTGAATTTACTTTTCCTTCAGCCTGAGGCTCATTCATTTCACTTTTTGTTGTGAAAGGGCTTTTACATTTACCAGAAATATCACTTTTTATATGAAAAACAAACAAACAAGCCCAACCCAGATTTGAAAAGTAACGCAAAAGTAACATAACGCATTACTTTCCATAAAAAGTAACTAAGTAACACTTTCATGGAGTAACACATATTGTAATGCATTACTTTACCCAACGCTGTTCATGAAACAAAAGGTTCTTTATAGTGG